AAAATGGGCATCTGAAATGAATAGACACTTCTCAGATGAAGACATAAAAACAGCATATAAATATATGAAAAAATGTTCATCATCACTGGTCATTCGAGAGATGTAAATGAAAACAATGCTGAGATTCCATCTCACTCGAGAAAGAATGGCTGCTGTCAAGAAATCAACCAATAACAAATGCTGGAGGGACTGTGGGGGAAAAGGAACCCTGCTCCACTGTTGGTGGGAGTGTAGACTGGTGCAACCACTGTGGAAATCAGTGTGGAGATTCCTCAAAAAACTAAAACTAGAGATTCCATTCGAACCAGCTACTCCCCTGCTGGGTATCTTCCCAAAAGAATTAAAAGCATCATACCACAGTGATACATGCACACCCACGTTTTCAGCTGTACAGTGTGCAATAGTTAAACCTTGGAAACAATCCAAATGCCCATCCACTGATGAAAGAATAAAGATCATGTGGTATTTTTATGCAATGGAATACTACTCTACCAGGAAGAAGGATAAAATAAGACATTTCTAGCTAAATGGATGCATCTTAAGACCATACTTTTTTTGGTACCGGGGATCGAACTTGGGACCTTGCAGTTGTGAGGCAGGCGGTGGAACCACTGAGCTAAATCCCCCGCACTGAGACCATACTCTTAAGTGAAATAAATCAGACAGACATGTTTAAACACCAAATTGTTTCTTGGTGTGAGAAACCAAAAGTGTAAATAAGGACCAAAATGTATAATAGATATCAGGAAATGAGAAGAAAATGTTCAAATGGGAAGAGGAACAAAGGAGGGGAGAGGGAGAAAAGAAAGGATAAGAAAAAAAGGGACTGGAAGAAAAAAATGGAAACAAAGCTTTTGCAAATAAGGAGGATAGAGGTTGAAAGGAGAGGAGGGGAATGAAAAAAATGAAGCAAGATATATTAGGGTACAGGTACAAATTCCCTGCTATGAATGGTATCATTATGTATATCTAAAATGGACCAATAAAAAAAAGGGGGAAAAAAATAAAGAGTGAAACAAATCCAATGGGTTGAAGACTTGAGAATGAAATAAAAATAATCTATGGACTAGGGTGTGTATCTCAGCAATAGAGCAGAAGGCTTATGAGGCCTTGGGATTAACCCCGGTATCAATGAATAAAAATATTCTGTGCCTTTGAAGTTAACATATATGTATTTCAGCAATTAAAGTGCATTCATATTTGATCAAAATCCCCTTTTAAATTATTTAATGGATTTCAGCAATATTGCATGCACCTACAAAGTTAGCATTAGAAACTGCTCAATCTAGTTTTAATAATATTTACCTTTATTCTTTATTTTATTTTTTAAAAACTCATCAATCTCACTGAGTTTAGGCTGGAAAAGACAGACCAGAGTTCATTACAGAGCAAACCAGGCCTCAACATTTGCAGCTGAACATGCTCAATAGTTTAATAAAATAAAATGTTCATAGAAATACACCCTTTAAAATATTTATAACCGGGCCGGGGATTTAGCTCAGTGGTTCGGCGCCTGCCTCACAAGCACAAGGTCCCGAGTTCAATCCCCAGTACCAAAAAAAAAAAAAGTAAAATATTTATAATCTATATACATAGCATTTTCTAGACTAGTCACTGGGCTTTTTCCATCATAAAATATATTTTTGTATTTAACCTCAAAACTCATTTTATTACATGTTACTTTAATATACTAGCCCACCATAAAATCCAGTAACAGTGGTAATTTTTTTTAAAAAAATCATTTTAAAGGGTAAATAAAAGTTCTAATATTTGCTTCACACATTTGATTGAATCGGATCACTCTGTGTCCTGCTCCAATACACACATGTATTTTGGACACTAAGACCACCAAAAAGTTTCAAGAAGGTTTTCATATAATTTGTATCCAAATAAAATGGGGCCTCAACAACTCAGATATCCTTTTTTCCTTTATCTTGTAAACCTGCACTTTCAAAAATCTCTAAAGATACCTCTTCCAACGAAATTTTGTTCACTGGAAAATAAATTTTTTGAAGAGTGTGTTTCAAAGGTTGAGGTCACTTTAAAGGTGTCTAACAGACCTTTTTTCATTCATAAGCAAAATGAAGTTGAAGGTGGGCAAATAATTGTAATTTGAAGTTAAAGTTTTCTTTTTTCTGATACCTACTAGCAGAATTTCTCATGCCAGTGAAGCCTTCGTTTCTATAGGTTTGGACACCTCAGAAAACTATGAGACTGTATGGGAGGGGATCCCGACTGCAATCGCACGTCCACCAGCGATCTTGGGGCTGCAGACTGGGGGCAACCCCTGCTTACCAAGAAAGTCCCTGTCCCACAGAACAGTCACCAGCGAATGCTGAAACTGAGCGACAAGTCAGAAGTCTTCCTGTCTTTTCTTGATGTATTCAAAAAGCTCAGGAGAGGATGTCATTGTAAATATCACCATGCTGCTTCACAGATTTCGAATACTCCCCAGTCGGGTGCATCCCGGATGCAGCGCCGCGACATTCTCCTCTCGGAGCACGGAGTCAGCTCGGGGCGCCGAGCCGACCGCTGGGTGCACCGGTGGCAGGGGATCCGGGAGCTCCCGGTCCCTTTAACAGGAGCCGCGGCGCCCAGCAGGCGACAGCAGCTGGCTAGCCGGACTGAGCGGCAACGTCGGCCAAAACGGGTACCGAGCACCACCTAGAAGGCGGGCAGGCGAGCTCAGCGGTCCGAGCTCCCTCCTCTCCAGCGCCTGGGACCGACCCTCTCCCACCGCGACCCGACGCCCACGCCACGCCCATAGTCCCTCCAGGGAAACCCCAGACACCCTTGGCGATCAAAGAAGAAAACAGAGCCGTAGCCCCGGGAACCTGCAGCTCCCCAGAAAACCGTCCCAAGTCTCCACAGTCTGGCCGGCGTCACGCCCACTCACCCACTCCTAGGGTCCTGTCCGGCCAGGCTGCGAAAGGGAAGGAGCAACGACCAGTCCCGCCCCAGCGCGAGCGCGTCTGCGCGGCTAACCGGGCTCGCGGCCCAAGATGGCGGCCACGGGAGCCTCTCGCGAGACCTCGAGCAGGCTCCCAGAAGCCCCGGCAACGTCAGGGCACCTCCTCCGCCCCTCCCACACACATCCCCCCCCCCGTGCCTTGCCGAGAAGGGGCGGGGACAAGTGTACACCCGGCCCCGCCCACACAGGTTGAACCGTTCTGTCTGTACGGAGTGTAATTTAGTTCACTCCGTTTACTATAAACGCAAGGGTTGTGTCCATTTTTTCTCTCCCTTCTTTCATTGTCTGCCTCTATCCACTTCATCCCTGACTTTGGTGGAAATTCATATTGAATTTCGTAGCTTTCACTTTTTTGTTTCTTCCTTTTAGGAGGTTTCCGGGAAAGAGTGTTTTGGAATGGTTCCCAAGAAGTAGTATTTTGGGGAAATTATCTTCAATTTCATTTCTTTGGCTATTTCTCACTTTTTTCATATACTGCTTTCTCTGTCTCTGACTAGTTTTAGATGGAACTCAATTTATCATCTGATTTTTCCCTATTTTCTATCCCTTTCTGGGTTTTTTCCGAAAATTTTCTTGAGCTTTATATTCCAGATCTCTGTTGATACATACATTTTTAAATCTGTGCTAGTATTTTTTAATCCCGAGAGTTGTTTCCTATTTTGATTCGTAGGTTAAAATACATTATCTGAGAATGTTAGTTGTGGTTTCCTTTTGTTTTTTCTTCTTTTTTTGGTATTTCTTTAGAAGTCACTTAAAAAATTGTATTTGTTTCCAGCATACCTGCCATTAGCTGTACTGTACTCAAATGCCTGGTTATCCTTGAGGATCCATTCATATTTAAGAACAGAGCACTAAAGATATCTATTGCAAGTTCTGTTGAGATAGAAAAATAAAGTGGCTAACAGAGAGGTGGGACACCAGTCTAGGATAATGTTGGCTGTGAGCAGTTTCATTTTTTCCAGCCCAACCAAATTCCTTCTTGGCAGACCCCACCCTGAACTGATACATATTTCAACTATGTGCCACCTTTATCTAGTTGATCCTACCCTGAACTGGTATTTATTCCAAATATCTGTCACCCTTATCTAGCGGACCATCCCCTGACCTAAGTTCTAACCTGAGTTTGAACTTGCTATAGACCAATCAGTAATAATGATATCCTATGTAACCAACCAACTGCTTGCTCTGCTTCTGTGCTAGTTCCTGCTTGCAAACTCCATATAAACTGTAGATGGACAAAAGACAGACACCTGGTTCTTTGAGGAATTATCCCGACCAGGCCTGTCAACGTATATAAAGATAGCTTTCTGTCTCCAAGTCTTGGGTGCTTTTTCAGTGTTTCCCATTGCCCTACACTGTATCACTAGGGCTTATTTACTCACCAATTGCTGACCTTCCCACAAAGGGATAAAAGTGAGGGGCTGGTGCTTTCTATAGAGAAGCTCCTAAAAGTCTATCTTCAGGTCTATGAGGACAATTGATTTCTCAGAGAAGTAATTTCTCACTCTCCTACCTTAGAGGCACAAACCAGAAATCAGATGTGATGGAGAATAGGGCATTGATTCATAATTCAGTCTTTATCTTTTCTTATTTTCCATTTTCAGTCCCCTGCCTTGACCTCTCCCTTCACTTCTGGGTTCACTTCTGGGCTCATTGCCTCTCTGGTTTTCTTTTGGGGGGGGATGGGGTTATGAGCCAGGGTCTTGCTATGTAGTCCGGCCTGGCCTTGCACTCACTATGTAGCCCAGGCTAGTCTTGAACTCACAGTGACCCTCCTGCCTCAGCCTCCCAAATGCTGGAATTACAAGTATGTGCCACCTTGCCCGACAAAATGTAGCATCCCTCAGTGGGCTTCATTTTTTTGCATGAACTAAACTTGTAGTCTTGTGTTGTAGAGGGAAAGATGTGTCACGTCACAACCTGGTGATGGAGGACATTTGGGGATGGAGCTGTAACTGTTCCTTATTCAGACATTCAGCAAAACGTTCCCTTTTTCAGCCTCACATTTTGACATCTTTTTCATAAATGTCTGGTTTTTACTTTCTGAACATTTCCAGATTTCTGGGGAGTATGAATTGACTTGTTTTTTGTTTCTCATTTTAGCTAAATTAGTAACTATTCATCTATCCTCTTTCTAGTTTTCAACTTTGTGTTCAATCTCCTTTATTATTATTATTTTATTACTTCAATAGATGCTTGTTCAATCTTCTACATTTAATTACAGACTCCCCAGAATAATTTTAAAAAATACAGTACACAGTTCATGCTGAGATCGTGTTACCCTCCTATTTAAATATGTACCTCAATAGCTTTCTATAAGGTCCTATATGAGTTAAGGGATATCTACATCTCTAAACTCATCTTGTAATTACTCTTCCCCAGCACATTATGCTCTGATTACAAAGTATTTTTCTTGCTCTATCTTTAGTTCTTCCTTTCAGTTATTTATCTGACTGAAATGTTCTTCCCATATTGGCACAAGGTTTGTTCATCTACACATTCTTGTCCTCTGGGGAACTTTTTTTGTGTGTGTGTGTGTGGAACTGGGGATCGAATTCAGGACCTTGTGCTTGCTAGACAGGCGCGTAGCCACTGAGCTAAATCCCCAGCCCTTGACATACCCTTTTGAGCAATAGTACTGTGTCTCTACAGGCCAGGTTTATTGTCTTCAAAGCATTTTTCACAATCAGTTTATTTACTTGTTTGTTTGCTGTGCCTCATCAGATGTAAGCTTCTAACATCCTGGATTTTGTGTATTTTGATTACTCTGCAACTCCAATTTCAAGCAGAATGCCTTTCTAATGGGCATTCTTTGGGGGGGGCACTCTTTAAATACTTGTCAAATAAATATAGACTAAGAGGCAAATACATGTACATGTGTTCTTGTGACCTTGAGGAAAGAATCATATTCTTTTTTTGTAGAACATAGGTTGGAACTTGACACTTTGTAGCATTATAAACAGTGTCTTGATACTAGAATAGATGTTACTCAGCCAGTTCCTGCAGAATTGGTAATGTAGATGTGAGTTTGCCCTGGTATTATGGGCCGCCAAATTAGAAATTATTACAAATCAGAGAGGGACTGGGCTGTCAAGGAAGTCAGCAGAAAAATAAAGATATCAGAATTGTCGCTGGAGGCACATTTTAAGAAGATCAGGCCTCAAGATGAAGATGCAATAATGACCTGGCCTACATGCCTCCCCTAAGGCATAAGCAGTAACTTGGAATTATACTGTGATTGGTATCACTTGGTCCAATAAAAGTCCAGATAAACAGCAGTCACCCAGGTGGGTGACCAGAGCATCGAGTCCCATCCCTTTTCAAAAATGCCTTTGTTCTTTCCATGGACCCTTGCTACACGACCTGCTTCTCTCTTGGATGTATATTAGCTAAGTGGCTATACTAATGTTATTGGTTGATTATAGTTTGACTCACATTGCACCCTCCTTGTGATTTTGTACCCACTTCATGATTTTGCTCTATAAAACATTCTTAGAGAAGTGGCCTCGGTGGCAACCCACTTTTGGGTCCCCTCCTGTTTCTCAGGAGCTACCTTTCTTTTTTTTTTTTTTAGTACCGGGGATCAAACTCGGGTCCCTGTGCTTTCAAGAC